CCCAGCACAGCCCAGCACAGCACAGCACAGCCCAGCCCAGCATAGCCCAGCACAGCCCAGCCCAGCCCAGCATAGCATAGCCCAGCATAGCCCAGCACAGCCCAGCACAGCACAGCCCAGCCCAGCATAGCCCAGCCCAGCACAGCCCAGCCCAGCACAGCACAGCACAGCCCAGCCTAGCATAGCCAGCCCAGCACAGCCCAGCACAGCCCAGCCCAGCCCAGCACAGCCCAGCCCAGCCTAGCATAGCCAAGCCCAGCATAGCCTAGCCCAGCACAGCCCAGCACAGCATAGCCCAGCCCAGCCCAGCATAGCCCAGCCCAGCATAGCACAGCCCAGCCCAGCATAGCCCAGCCCAGCATAGCACAGCCCAGCCCAGCATAGCACAGCCCAGCCCAGCCCAGCCCAGCCCAGCATAGCACAGCCCAGCCCAGCCCAGCATAGCACAGCCCAGCACAGCACAGCCCAGCCCAGCCCAGCATAGCCCAGCCCAGCATAGCCCAGCACAGCACAGCCTAGCATAGCATAGCCCAGCCCAGCCCAGCACAGCCCAGCCCAGCATAGCACAGCCAAGCCCAGCACAGCCCAGCATAGCCCAGCACAGCCCAGCATAGCACAGCCCAGTCAGCACAGCACAGCACAGTCTGCATTCCAGCCTCAGATCAAGCAATAAAAGGATCAATACTAATCGATTGCTTAAACAGGGGGCGGTGGGGGGGGAGTGGGGTGGTGGGGGGGGAGAAGAAGTGAGTTGCATTGGAAATTGTCACAGTTTGTAAACTCGCTGGACTGTAAGGTTAGATTGGGATAATCCCAATCCCAATCCCAGCACGAGGGTGACCGTATTTTGTGAACCAAATCCGAGGACATGCATACTTTTTTTTAAAACTCACTACAATTCCCGATGCTGGCAGTGCTGGAGAAGTTTGTCGGATTAATGGCTGTATTTCTCTGATGAGTGTATCTGGTTTAGATTTTAGACCTTAGGCAAGTTTCGTTACTCCACACGCCTAATAATAATCCCTCCAAAAACAATAACAATAATAAATTGCCCACTTCAATCCAAGACTGTTTGTGAGACACTGCTGTGTGCAATTGGCTGCCGCGTTTTGCCCATAAAATATACAGTCAATTCACTTTACAGCATATTCGGTGAAGCGCTTTGAGACGTCTAGAAGACGTGAAAAGCACTATATCAAATGCAAAGATTATTATTATTATTTTTATTTTTATTGCTCAGTTTGTTGCTGAAATCAAGACAAGGCCAATTTGACTCCAGGAGCACAATACCTCATCCCAGGACTGTCCCCAGAAATCAGGGAAATATGGTCATCCTAGTTAAGTCAACATATCCTGGCTCTCCATGTGGGTCCTGGGGACTGATGACAGCTGTCAGTGTGATACCACTTCAGCCAGAAATGGTGACCTGACTTAATAACAGTCTGCCTCTCCCCCGAACCCAGTGGTCAGGCGATATAAACTGTCGATGGAAATCCAAGAGTTTAAACAACATTCTCTGAACTCAATATATTTACAAGATCCTAAATATCAACAACAACTTGCACTTATATAGCCCCCTCCACGCAAGATTTCAGAGCACTTAACAGTGGCGGAGCCTGACTCCAAATCGGGGGGTGGGTAGGGCGGGGGTGGTCGGGGAGGTGACCGTAAGCATGGTTGAAAAGAAAGGTGTTCAGGCGGGACTTGAAAATGGGGAGGAAGAGGGCAAGGAATTGAGGGAGAGTGTTCCAGGGTTTCGTGGAGTAGTGGCGACCTCCATTGGTGGAGCAGAGGGTGCGAGAGATAAGCAGGAGGCTGGTGCTAGTCAGCGGGAGGCACCGGGTGGTAGATTCGGGAGTGAGGTGGTCGGAGAGGTGAGGAGTGAAGGGATTTGAACAACAACAGCAACAACAACAGGATTCCATTTATAGAGCGCCTTTCACGTCGGGAGGATGTCCCAAGGCGCTGGGACACGTGTGAGGATCTCAAAGTCGATACATTTGGTGATGGGGAGCCAGTGGAGCCTGGCCAGAACTGGTGAGGTGGGGGTACAGAGTTTGGTCCGGGTCAGTATGCAGGCAGCAGAGTTCTGAATGAGCTGGATTTTTTGAATAGTGGAGCTGCAGAGACCGGCGAGAGGTGCGTTTGAGGGTTATAGGTTAAATATGGGATAAAACTGAAAAAAGAAAATAAGAGGAGCAAAAAGATTATACGAAAAACCGACTACTGCTCTTCTTAATATACATAAATGATCAGGTCTTGGGTATAGCAAGTACTATTTCCAAGTTTGCGGATGACACAAAGTTAGGTAGGATAGTAAACAGTGAGAAGGATAAGAGCCAACTGCAGGAAGACATAGACAGAATGGTAAAATGGGCAGACACATGGCAGATGAGTTTCAATGTGGAGAAATGCGAAGCAATGCATTTTGGTAGAAAGAATGAGGGGAGGCAATATAGGCTGGTAATACAATCTTAAGGGGGGTAAAAGAGCAGAGAGATCTGGGGGTTCAGGTAAATGAATCCTTGAAGGTGGCAGGACAGGTAGATAAAGCTGTAAAAAGGGCATATGGGATACTAGGCTTTATAAATAGGGGCATAGAGTACAAGAGTTAGGAGGTTATGATTAACCTAAAACACTGGTTAGGCCTCAGTTGGAATACTGCGCCCATTTGTGGGCAACACACTATAGGAAGGATGTTAAGGTATTGGAAAGGGTGCAGAGGAGATTTACGAGGATGATACCAGGAATGAGGGACCTTGATTATGAGGAAAGGCTAGAGAGGCTGGGACTATTCTCATTGAAGCCGAGAAGGTTACGAGGAGACCTAGTAGAGGTCTTCAAAATCATGAGGGGATTTGATAGGTTAGAAAGGGAAAAACTGTTTCCACTGGTGGGTGTGTCGGTGACTCGAGGTCACAGATTTAAAATAGTTTCTATTTTAAAAGAAGTAGAGGGGAGGTGAGAAGAAATGTTTTCATGCAGCGAGTTGTTTGAATCTGGAATGCATTGCCTGAAAGGGTGGTCGAGGCCGATTCAATAACAACTTTTAAAAACGTGGTGGATGGGTATTTGAGGAGGACGGGTCTGCAGGGTTATGGGAAAAGGGTTGGGGAGTGGGATTGACATTACATTGCTCTTTTGAAAGAGCCGCCACAGACTCAATGGGCCGATTGGCCTCGTTTTGTGCTGTACGATTCGATGATTCTATGAAAACGTTTGAAATGTTCAGCTGCATTTTTTCCTAAATATTTTACTATCCGCAATATACACCACAGAAATACCATGTGAGTTTTGAACCCTTACTTGAAATGAGTATTCCTTCATTAATGTACACACTGAAATCATTTGTTATTGCAAAATGTGAGAATTTGATTTTGATGAGATTATAAACAAGGTGGATCAGAAACACGACAACTACTTCCACAGTGAACACAACAGAATCTCCTAGGTGTTAAAGGGCAGCCTCAGGAAAAAAAACATTATTTGTTTCTCAAACAAATAATAAAACCCATTTGT